CTCATTTTTAGAAGGAGGAAAGACTGAAATGAAAGCACTCACTTCCCCGCCTGCATCTTCCACAGAAAACCTGCTGTGGGCATTCTCTGTGTCCCACCAGAGGCCTCACATCCGAGGCTGGGGGCAGACACGAACCTCCAAACACCTCGGGCACGCAGCTGTGGACACAGGAGCCTCGACGGCATGCGGGTTAAAGTGCATCACTTTTGAGAAGCTTTGGAATTTCTGATTTTCATTCTCTAATCTGTCCTGTGAGCCAAAGATGCTGCATGGAGCCCAGGCAGGCAGAGGTACCCCTCCTGCCTCAGAAAGCCTTCCATGCCACATTCGCCAAGCCTCCCTCACCACACTGAACCCAGGCCATCGTCAGCAGTTGGCTGGCAGTGCCACGACACCCTCTCAGAAACACGCACAGTGCTGCCTCTATCACCTCCCACCCCGACCTTGCAAGGCCTGTTGAGAAGCGTCCTGGGAGGCACCTCGGTAGCCGGCATGAGCGTGGCAGGAGACGGACAGCAGCCTCTGGCGGGCGAAGGGCCTTGCTTCAGATGCCTGCTGGCTGGCAATCAGGCAGAGCCCAGGTGACTGTGCCAGGCTCCCTTCCTCACGCCAGGCTGCAGTCTGTCACAAGCTGGCTGGACAGTGGCCAGGTGAGCGAGGCCAGAGGCCATCCACAGGAAGAAGCAGCTCCGCTCACCAGACCCAAGCCCTGGGCAGGGGCCAGGTTCACAGCAAAGCACGTTAGGGCAAGGGCTTGAGTTTTTGACTGGGAAGTTCTAAAAAAAAAAACCCACGAATCAGTGTGAGGGATTGTGTATGCCTCAAATGATCAGCTGTATTCCACTGTCACGTAACAAAATGCCATGAATCCAATCAGACAGGCAGGCGCTCGACAACCTCCAGCACCCAACACCCTGGCAGAAGCAGCTGCTCTTGACAGCAAGACCATTTTCCAGATCAGCAGAGAAGGGGAGACGCATGTCCCAGGGACAGGAGCGCGCCGAGACCCCCCAACACAAGACGATAGGGGAGCCCCGCCCAGTTCTGGGCCGCTGGGAACCGACAATCCACATGCATCCCCAGAACAGGTGTGGACGGGTGGCACAGACGTGGCTGTGGAGGGGCGACACAGGTGCTCTTTCACGGAAATCTTGATGGGACAGCATTCCTTGGGGGAAGCCGGGCCGGCAACAGAGCTGGGCCACAGGCAGCAAGGCAGGGGCTCTACGGCTCCTCCCCCATCTGCAGCAGAGAGTTGATGGCGGCGTCCTTGTTCCCGCGCTGGGCTTCCAGCACAGAGCGGATCACCTCCTGCTCCATGTTGGGGAACACGTCCTGGATGGCTTTCAGGTCCTCCTCGCTACAGCGGGGCTGGGTGTTCACAGCAGCTGGGGGCAGGGCCACGGGCACCATGCCAGGGCTGCAGACAGCAGGCATCCCTGGAAGCAATCATCAAGTTTGGTAAAAACATCGGAAGGTTACAGAAGTGCCACGCTAGCTCCTGCTGAAGGAAGAAACAACAAACACATCCCACCCCCTCAGGTCTCAGCAAACACCAGTCCTGCAAGACACCCTCGAAACCCACAGCCTCCGACACAAACACCACTGACACCCACAGCCTCCAATGCCGACCCACCGACACCCACAGCCTCCAACACAAACACTACCAACACCCACAGCCTCCAACGCCGCCCCACCGACACCCACAGCCTCCAACGCCGACCCCAGGTATAGCCATGGAAAGGGGCTTGGGGTCTCTGTGACACCTCCTTTATGAACTCATCCCCCTTGCATATAAATATGAAAGTTTGATCTTTCAAATCTCCCCCGAGCCTATTTTATAATTAGCAGGCTGGGGTGGGGGGACAGTAGGGTAGTGTTTTGATCCCTTAAGACGCAAGAATTTGCCCTGTGACTGCTTGTCTTCACTGACCAGAGGGCACAGAGGTCCTCTTCATCTGGGGATGGGACACAACAAATGTCACACTTGTTTACCCAGACACTGCAAGGTCTGGGGCCGCTTCATTTATCAGACATTCTAGAAGATGCTTTGCACTTGACAGGGATGTCCCTAGAACTGTGTGCTCGGAAGGAAACAATCACCACAGGCTCTGAAGACCTCAGGAGCGCTGCAGGCTGACCCTGAGGGTGACTCCAACACGCGTGCGAACGCCCAGCCAAGAGGACGCTCACTAACACTCAAGCCGGGCAGCAGGTGCGGTGCCCAGGGGGCCCTCGGCACACCGGGGCCACTGTATCACCACCCCACAGCTGCGCAGGCCCCCGGCTCCGTGTCAGATGCGAGAGACACACTGAGACGACCTATCAAGGAGCAGCCTGCACAGCGCTTCAGCCACTGCAGCGCACAGGTCCCTCAAGGCATGGCTGGCCGGACCTGAGACTCGCCTGCCGGCACCCACAGGCAGCCCTGAGCACGGGTGGGGTGTGCGCGGTCCCTCCTGCAGCAGCAGCTGGAGCACTGCACGGGTTCACCACTCGCCCATTCCTTCACCTTCAAAGCACACTCTCCCAGCCAGACCCACTAGGGCACTAGAGCCACAATCTTAGGAGAGAACTTTTGTTCTTTTCTACACTGGGAGGACCCTAAAGGCAGCAGAAGCCACTTTAACTCTGGCCTGAACCAACACCGGCAACAAGGACTTGCAGGGGTGGAAACAGAGTGGACGGAGCTCGCGGATGGGGCTCCCCGAGCCTCCAGCACCTCCTGCTATGGCCAGGGATCCTCAGCAAGGAAGGCCTCCGCTTCCCAGCTCCTTTCTCCCAGGCCCACGGTTCCCCCACACCCACGCCTGCCTCCTCCGCTTCCCGGCTCCTTTCTCCCAGGCCCACGGTTCCCCCACACCCACGCCTGCCTCCTCCGCTTCCCGGCTCCTTCCAGCAAGGCCCACCGTTCCCCCACACCCACGCCTGCCTCATTCTGGCCACTGGACACCTCACCTCACCTCACCGGGAAAGCATCATCCGCACGCTGACCAGCCTTTCAGTAATGAGGAGAAAAATGAACCAAACAATGGCCAGGTGGGGAGGCGGCCACCCTCACCCCTTTCTTCTTCCTCAAACTAGACAAAGACTCAGGCGCTGCCTGTCCTGGAGAGACCCCCATGGCTTCCTGGGCACCCTGGCCGGCAGGTGGACTGGAGCTCGGCCATCCCGTGCCTGCCACAGAGCTCCCCCAGCGTGGCAGCGTGGAGTGGAGGCAGCGCACTCTGGCCCAGCCACTCTCTCTAGCCTTTACCGGCCTGATGGGAAGGGGTGGGGGGAGGCAGTACGGCTGCAAAATCGACGATGGCGACAGCATCACAGCCCGGATGCCCCGAGACAAGGGGCTGTGGCACCCACCGGCCCTCAAGCGAGCACGGCCCCAGCACACTTGGGACCAGGCACCCCTGGGGGCAAAGGTGGGCACCTCCACGGTGTGGGTTGAGGGGTAGTACGAGGCCCACCCCCTCCCTCCTGCAGGGCATAGGCTGCGTGCCTGGCCTTAGTGTGACCCATGCGGGTGCCGAGTGTGGACATGTCCACCAAGCCCTCTGGGAACACTGAGTGTGCTGTGTTCACACTCAGCTCGGGGCCGCCTGGAGACTTCAGGGGAAGGACAGACCAGAAGCTCTGGAGCCTGGCAGAGCCCCAAGTCCCCCAGACGTGGGCAGACGGGAGCCAGGGGCAGCCTAGACCCCATCTGTAGCGGCCCTGGGAGGAGGACGGCGGCTTCCTGAGTCCCTGCCATCTGCTGTGCTCCCCACCCCCACCATACCTGCGTCTACATGACAGATGTGCAGCAGATGGGACAGGCCCTACCTCACAGTCTTCACACTGTGGGATTCTGCAGTCAGGTCTCAGCAAAGTCAAATTCTCTACTCACAAACACAATGCTATCCCGAAAACCAAAACCTGCTGCTTTCCTTCCCGTTCAGGGAGCGCTGGGCCCGAAGGCCGGAACTGAGACCCTTTCCTTCCAGTTCAGGAAGCGCTGGGCCGGAAGGCCGGAACTGAGACCCTTTCCTTCCGGTTCAGGAAGCGCTGGGCCGGAAGGCCGGAACTGAGACCCTTTCCTTCCAGTTCAGGAAGCGCTGGGCCGGAAGGCCGGAACTGAGACCCTTTCTTTCCCGTTCAGGCCGGAACTGAGACCCTTTCCTTCCTGTTCAGGAGGCGCTGGGCCGGAAGGCCGGAACTGAGACCCTTTCCTTCCGGTTCAGGAAGCGCTGGGCCGGAAGGCCGGAACTGAGACCCTTTCCTTCCCGTTCAGGAGGCGCTGGGCCAGAAGGCCGGAACTGAGACCCTTTCCTTCCGGTTCAGGAGGCGCTGGGCCGGAAGGCCAGAATTGAGACCCTTTCTTTCCCGTTCAGGCCGGAACTGAGACCCTTTCCTTCCCGTTCAGGAGGCGCTGGGCCGGGAGGCCGGAACTGAGACCAAGCAGTCTGGTGGGGCCCAGCAGTGGTGGGCAGGGGAGCACTGCCCAGTCAGGCTGAAGGCCTGTGGCCCCAGGCCCCAGAGGCTTGGCACCATAGTGGAACAAAGTCCGAAGAGCAGGTGGGGATGACCAACCAGCTCAGAGACTGTTCTGGAAACAGAAGGCTGGCTGGTGCTTCTCACTCTGGAGAGCGCATCACAAAGAAAACTTAGGTGATTCTTTGTTTCAAAGCATTCAAGTTAGCGGGTTAACAAACACAACTGCAGAAAATTCCAAGTGACAGTTTGCGAAACTGTTAAGTGTCCACTTCTCATTTTGAATGGAACCATTTCGTATTTTAAACAGCATATGCTGCTTGGCTGCAGACTTCTCGTTCACTGGAATGCCGTGTGTGAGGGGAAGCGTGCTTGGGCCGTGCAGGTGGGCCCTTGGCTGGTCCCTCTAACTCACAGGTGCTGTGGACGCTGGCTGTTCCGTGCCCAGTGCCACTGTGCGTGCGCTCTGTGGACCCCTCTGTCATCATCCACCTGCGTGTTTGGTGGACGCTGGCTGTTCCGTGCCCAGTGCCACTGTGCATGCGCCCTGTGGACCCCTCTGTCATCATCCACCTGCGTGTTTGGTGGACGCTGGCTGTTCCGTGCCCAGTGCCACTGTGCATGCGCTCTGTGGACCCGTCATCATCCACCTGCGTGTTTGGTGGACGCTGGCTGTTCCGTGCCCAGTGCCACTGTGCATGCGCCCTGTGGACCCCTGTCATCATCCACCTGCGTGTTTGGTGGACGCTGGCTGTTCCGTGCCCAGTGCCACTGTGCATGCGCTCTGTGGACCCCTCTGTCATCATCCACCTGCGTGTTTGGTGGACGCTGGCTGTTCCGTGCCCAGTGCCACTGTGCATGCGCTCTGTGGACCCCTCTGTCATCATCCACCTGCGTGTTTGGTGGACGCTGGCTGTTCCGTGCCCAGTGCCACTGTGCATGCGCTCTGTGGACCCCTCTGTCATCATCCACCTGCGTGTTTGGTGGACGCTGGCTGTTCCGTGCCCAGTGCCACTGTGCATGCGCTCTGTGGACCCCTGTCATCATCCACCTGCGTGTTTGGTGGACGCTGGCTGTTCCGTGCCCAGTGCCACTGTGCATGCGCCCTGTGGACCCCTGTCATCATCCACCTGCGTGTTTGGTGGATGCTGGCTGTTCCGTGCCCAGTGCCACTGTGCATGCGCTCTGTGGACCCCTGTCATCATCCACCTGCGTGTTTGGTGGACGCTGGCTGTTCCGTGCCCAGTGCCACTGTGCATGCGCCCTGTGGACCCCTGTCATCATCCACCTGCGTGTTTGGTGGACGCTGGCTGTTCCGTGCCCAGTGCCACTGTGCATGCGCTCTGTGGACCCCTCTGTCATCATCCACCTGCGTGTTTGGTGGACGCTGGCTGTTCCGTGCCCAGTGCCACTGTGCATGCACTCTGTGGACCCCTCTGTCATCATCCACCTGCGTGTTTGGTGGACGCTGGCTGTTCCGTGCCCAGTGCCACTGTGCGTGCGCTCTGTGGACCCCTCTGTCATCATCCACCTGCGTGTTTGGCTTTTGTGCTTTGTGGACAGGCATCCGCACTGCAGTCTGGTCGGCTCCACAGAAACCCGTGGGGGTTGTGCTCACACAGACTGGGGCTGTGGTGAGGGGAGGGACTGCGCTGGTGAGGGCATGAGGGCCACAGCTCCGCCCCCCCACCCAGAGCAAAGCACTCCAGCCCTGTGTGAAACAGAGACGCGCAAGGAACAGATGGGACAGTGTTGGCTAGCAGCTGCAGCCCCAGTGAGCACAGGAAGGAGCCCATGCAGCCCTGCGCCACCTGTCCAAGGCCGGGCTGGGGAGGCGCTGGACACCCCACGTTGACTCTCTTCCCACCACCAAGCAGGAGGAGGTGGGAAGCAACGCAGGAGGGAAATTGAGGAGGGCACAGAGGAAGTCCGTGGCACCGCCTCAGCACCTCTGCCTCGTGGGGACCCTCAG